AATTAAATGAAAATGGAGACATAGCATACTGGAACCTGTGGGACAAAATGAAAGCAGACCTAAGAGGAAAATTTTTAATGGTGAATTCTGATGTCAGGAAAACAGAATGATCACAAATAAACAACCTACTGCACCATCTCAAGCTTGTAGGCAAAGAAAAGGAAGTTGAGCCCAAAGCTCACATAAGGGAGGAAATTATAAAGATCAGAGCAGGTATTAACACAATGGAGACTAAGAAAATAATACAAAGAATTAATAAATCAAAGCATTGTTTTTTTCAAAGAATAAATAAAATTGATAAAGCCATAGTCAGCCTTATAAAAAAGAAATAAAGTCAAATTCATTCCATGAGTAATTAAAAGTATGAAATGATGCTGTGGAAATTCAGAAGATATAAATTCAAGTAGACCTGAATATCTACTTGAAAATCTTTACTCACATACGATGAAAAACACAAAAGAAATGGAAATGGAAAGAAATGGAAAAACTCCTGTAAATGTATGAATTACCAAAGCTGAATCAAGATGACATAAAAATTCTAAATAACTATCAATTAAAAATTGCCAACAAAGAAAAGCCCAGGCCCTAATTCACTGCTAAATTCTACAAGAAACTTAGAGAAGATTTAATACTAATACTCAAACTCTTTAATGAAATTGAAAGGGAAGCAATACTTCCTAACTCATCCCTGGAGGCAAGTATTACTCTAATATTAAAACCAGAGAAAAACCCAACCGAAAAAGGGAACTACAGGCCAACCTCCCTAATGAACAAAAATGAAAATATCCTCAACAAGATACTAGCAAACAGAATGCAGCAAATTGTTAAGATTATATACCATGATCAAGTGGAACTCATCCCAGGAATGCATGGATGGCTCAACACATGCAAATCAATAAACATAATACACCATATCTACAGAGCCAAAGACAAAAATCACATAATCATCTTGATAGATGCAGAAAAAACTTTTGATAATGTCTCACACTCATGCATGATAAAAACTTACAGAAAATTGGAATAGGTGATCTTTACCTCAATCTGAGAAAAGTCATCTATTCCAAACCAAAAGCCAACATCATACTAAATGGACAAAACTGAAAGCCTTCACTCTAAAATCATGAACAAGACAAGGATGGCCATGGTCACCACTCCTATTCAATATAATTCTGGAAACATTAACCAGAGCAATTAGACAAAACAGAAAAATAAAAGGAAAGAACAGGAAAGGAGGAATTTAAATTATAATTATTCACAGATGACATACTCTACATAATAGATCCCAAAAACTCCACGAAAAGACTTCTAGAATTAATAAGCAAATTCAGTAATATAACTGGATACAAAGTCAACACTTAAAACTCCATACCACTCTTGTATACAAACAACAAACTCACCAAGAGAGAAATTAGGGCAATAACACCCTTTATAATAGCTTCCAAAAAAATGAAATACTTAGGAATCAATCTAACAAAGGAAGCAAAAGATTTATTCCTTGAAAATTACAGCACCCTGAAAAAGGAGATCAAAGAAGATATCAGAAAATGAAAAGATATCTCTTGATCATGGATAAGAAGAACAAACATAGTGAAAATGACCATACTCCCAGAACTGTTAAACAGGTATAATGCAATCCCAATCAAAATACCTTTAGCATACCTCACAGATCTAAGGAATACTTTCCTAAAATTTATTTGGAAACAGAAGAGACCTAGAATAAGAAAGGCAATCCTGGGAAACAAAGACAGGGCAGGAGGTATTATAATCCCTGGCTTAAAATTATACCACAAAGCTACTGTGATAAAGTCAGCAAGGTACTGGAAAAAAATCCAGACCTGAGAGTCAGTGGAACAGATTAGATGATGCAGACACAACTATAAACACACTCAGCTACCTTATTATTGACTAAGTGGCCAAATAAGTTCATTGGAAGAAAGATAGCCTTTGTAATAAATTCAGTTCTGGTAAAACTGGCTTTCCACATGTCAGGGACTAAAACTAGACCCACGTCTATCACCATGCACTAAACTAACGTCAAAATGGATCAAAGATCTAAATATTGAAACAGAAACACTATATAGGTAGAAATCTAGAGGACATAGAGATATGCAGAGAGTTCATGAGCAAAAACCAAACTGCACATGATGTACTTTGAAGAATCAACAATTTAGATCTCATCTTATTAAAAAGATTTGCATATCAAAAGAAATCACCGACAAAGTGAAAAGAAAACTCACAGAAAAATTTTGGCCAATAGTTCCTCAGAGAAAGGACTTCCCTGTAAAACATATAAAGAATTGAAAAAAATGAGATCCCACAAATTCAAAGAAGAGAACTAGAATGAAAAAGGCACTCTGAGATGAATATATATTTCTCAGATGAAGAAATAAAAATGGAAGAAAAATAAATGAAAAAAATGTTCAACATCACTGGTCATTCGAAAAATGCAAATTAAAGCAACACTAAGATTCCGTATCACCTCAGAAAGAATGACTGTCATCATGAAATCAACCAATAAGAAATGCTGGAGGGGCAGTGGAGAAAAATGAATCTTTCTCCATAGTTGGTGGTAGGAGTGTAGACTGGTATAACCACTGTGGAAATCAGTGTGGAGAGTCCTCAGAAAACTAGGATTAGAGGTCCCATTCAACCCAGCTATTCCCCTTCTGGTTATTTTCCCAGAAAAATTAAAAACATCACACCATAATGACATATGTGTACTTATGTTTATAGAAACATAATTTATAATAGCTAATTTTTTTTCTTTTTTGGTACAGGGGATCAAACTCATCACCTTGTGCCTGCCAGACAGGCACTTATACCACTGAACTAAATTCCCAGCCCTTGTAGTAGCTAAATGTTTGAAACAACCCAAATGCCTATCAACCAAGGAATGGATAAAAAGGATGTGGTATTTTTATATAATGAAGTACTGCTCAGCTATAAAGAAGGATAAACTTGAGGCTTTTATAGTAAGTGGATGTAACTAGAAACCATACTTATAAGAGAAATAAGTCAGAGTTGCATGTGTAAACATCATATTGTCTCCCTAGTGTAAGAAACTGCAAGAGTAAATATCTAAAATGTACATTAGATATTGTGAAAGGGAAGTAATGGCTCAAGTGGAAAGAACAACAGGGATGGGAAAAGGAGAAAAGGGGAAAGAATATGTATATATATATATTTATATATATATCAAATTAAGATAATTATACTATTAATTTCTCTTCTCATTGAAAAGAATAGTTTGTGCTTACTTTGATCAGTTTTGCATACCTATATCTTTTAATCTGAGCAACTACTTTGAAAATAGCAATATGTAATATATTAACCCTTATTAATTTCATGTTTTGAAATTCTGTATTATTGTTTTTGTTGTTTTCCTCTCTTTAAAATAAAAAATGCATCTCTGAAGTTTTGAAAAAATTTTTAAAATTCTGCATGCTTTTTGCTATTTATTTATAAAAATGGTATTATTTTGTTGTTATTATAAATAGTGAAGTTTTCATGAAAATGCCACAATGGAACTCAGTGTTCCATATAATTAATACATGCTAATAAAAATAATTAAATAAATGAATAGAAAATATTTTTTCTAACTGATTAACGCTAGTATACAATAAAACATGGTTTATCATCACTTTCTAGTTGTGTGGCTTTGGATGATTAAACACTTTTACTATAAATTTGTAACAAAATTAGAAAAATATGTATGCCAATTTAAGAGCATTTTAATGGAAAATAAATATTATAATACATATAATTTATTAAGCTTAGGACCTGGACAGAGTGAATGGTAAAATACATACACAATTATTCTCTCAATATTTACTTTACATTTGTCAGACAGGAAGTCATATTATAAGATGCCCTGGTATCCAAACCCTGGTAACAGTTCAGCCTATGGAGAGGGATGGGAGCCATGGTTTCTGCTCATGGAAAGAGAAAGTGTTGCAGTGCTTCCTGTCCTCTCACCCCAAATCTCTGCTCCCCACTTCCTTTCATAGCAGTTGTCTAATACAGAAAGAGAAGTTGATTCTGATTCTATAATGGCAGAGACAGACCAGACGTCCTAAATAATTATATGCAACCCATTCAGTTTAAGCATACAGCTGAGGCTCAGAGAAAAACAGATTTTTTCTGGGACCACCCAAAATTGGGAGGCAAAGCTGGAGAGAGCTCTCAGTTCACCTGACTCTTGAGCATGTTTATGCTCTTCCTATCCCATCCAGGCGCTTCCAGGTATAAGGGCAGTGGGGTAGGTGGATCAACCACATATTCATGAAATTTTTCATGTTTGTTCAATGTTCCCCCTACATCTGCACTGCTAGCCCCCAGCTTGAAACATTGTTCACTATTTATTTACACTAAGCTATCAAGAACTTAGTGTGTCTTGTCTCCTCAGTCACATCTTAAAACAGAAGTCTAGTGGGGAGCCTATTGCTTAACTGAAGGTCTGAGGAAATCTCAGACCTGAGTTTCCTAAATTCTTACATGCATCTCCCTATACCTGTAATGTCATTCCTTGTCTGTCTTCTGTGAATGATATTAGTGCCTGGGAATATTAAAAGGAAGGTGGGAGTTGCATATCTAGCTCAAAGGTTGGCTGGTCATATTACAGGACTGAAAGTAGCCAGGTCAGGACTGACAGAAAGGGAATGAAAAACACATGCCTGTAATTTATGTAATGTGCTTTGTTTTGTTCTTTGTGTAGGGTTCCTGGTCCTAGGGCAAAGGTGAGCTTTGCTGATTAGCATTTCCTACTCAAATGGAGGCTGTGGTACTTGGGCTGAAAATTGAATTTCTAACATTAAGCCTTAGGGATGTGGCTCTTGTTCCTGGTCCTGCTCTGATTCACAGCCAGGGAACTGTCTCCTGAATCCTTTTCTCTCTCCACTGGAGAGATCAAGTCTCATCCATATCTATATCCATTTTCCCAGAACTTTCAGGAGTCCAGAAATCATAGCAGCCAGAAACAAATGGAGCAGGAGGGTTTTTTCTTTCTTTTTTATTGGAAAGTAGAAGACAAAGGCAGTCCCAAGACTGGGCATCCAGATCAGGAGGAACAATGGGCACTGGGAAAGGGTAGTGCTACTAAGACTACTAAGTGCTACTAGGGACTACAGAAAGGCCTGCAGACATAGGCCCAGGACAGGTGCAGTAAGGACAGGTTTTACCTGGTGGATGAGAAGAGAATCAGAGATATGACTCAGCAGGTCAAAGCACTCAGACCTAGTACACAGATAGGGACATCCCCTCTGCATCTTGCGCATGGCCTCTGAGACCCCTCAGTCTCTCAGTCTGACCAGCAACTCCCCCATTTCCTTCTTTCCACCACCCTGACATCACTCCCCACCACTCAACCTTCTTCTGTATTGGCAGGGGTCCCCCTTTCTTCCAGCTAGTGCTTGCCTCACTCGGGGATCAAACACTCCATCCCACCGCACATGCCCACACAGCACTTCTTGGTCCCTGGGCACTCAACATCACTCCCACACTTGGAATCACTTGTCTGTGTGCATTGCCCTGTAATGTCAGGGCAGGAGCCAGGTTTACTGAAACTTCGCCTTTTGAACATTCCTTGACCTTTAAATGCAGCATGTTCTTCCATGTGATCTTGTCCTTTAAACTGCCGGTGACGTTTCATACGATCTTGACCTTTGATTAAAACTGTGTCTTCCATGGCATTTTCATGAATCTGCATATGACTTTTTGGAGAACTTAGACCTTGTACCAGAACTGCTTCTTTTGTGGAATCTTGTCCTTTGATCTGTATGGGACCTTTGAGAGAACTTTGACTTCTCGAAGAACCCTGACGTTTGATGGAACCAAGAGTTTTAACTGAAACTGCTGCATCTTGGAAATTTTGTCCTTTGACCTGCGTGTGACTTTTAACAGGACCCAGACCTTTGGCTGCAACTACTTTCCCCATGACATCTTGTCCTTTGATCTGCATGCCACCTTTCACATGACCCACACTTTTGACCGGGACTGCTTCTTGTAGAATATCTTGACCTTTAACCTGCGAGTGACCTTTCCTAGCACTGAGACCTTTGACTGAAACTGCTTCTCCTATGGAGGCTTGTCCCTTGACTTGCCTGCCTCCTTCCACAGAACTGAGCCCTTTTACTGAAACTGCTTTGTCCAGGAGACCTTGTTCTTTGACCTGCGTGTCACCTTTCACAGGATGGAGACCTTTAACTGAAACAGCTTCTCCAAGGAAATCTTGTCCTTTGTACTGCATGTGACTTTTAACAGAACCAAGATCTTTAACTGAAACTGCTTCTCCAATGAAATTTTGTCCTTTGACCCTCATGTGACCTTTCACAGAATCGAGACCTTCAACTGAAACTGCCTCTCCAGTGAAATCTTGTCCTTTGATTTGCATACAGTCTTTCACAGAACTAACACTTTTCACTGAAACAGCTTCTCCAAGGAAATGTTGTCCTTTTACCCTCATTTGACCTTTCACAGAATCTAGACCTTTCACTGAAACAGCTTCTCCAACGAAATTTTGTCCTTTGACTCGCATTTCACCTTTCACAGAATCTAGACCTTTCACTGAAACTGATTCTTGCACGAAATCTTGTCCTGTGACCCAAATGTGACCGATCGTGGGATCTTTATGTTGACTGAAAAATTCTCCCATGGAATCTCGTTCTGTGACCTGTATATGACCTTTTGTAGAACTGACTGTTTTAACTGCAACTACTTCCATGAGATTTTGTCCGTTGACCTGCATTTGATCTTTTACAGAACTGAGACCTTTAACTGCAATTGCTTCTCTCATAACATCTTGTCCTTTGAGCTGCATAAGGCTTTTCATAGTACTAGAGCCTTTAACTGCTTCTGGTATGAGAGCTTGTCCTTTGATTCCCATGTCACCTTTCACAGGAAGGAGACCTTTAACTGAAAGTGCATCTCCTAGGACGTCTTGCCCTTGGACCTGTGTGCCACCTTTCTCAGGGGCGAGACCTTTAACCAAAGCTGCCTCTCCCAGGAAGTCTTGCCCTTCGACTTGTGTGCCACATTTTCCAGGAGCGAGACCTTTAATCGAAATTGCTTCTGCCAGGAGATCTTGCCCTTGGATCTGTGTGCCATCTTTCACAGGCGTGAGACCTTTAACCAAAACTGCTTCTCCCAGGATGTCTTGCCCCGGTACCTGTATGCCACCTTTCACAGGGCTGAGCCCTTTAACGGACACTGCTTCATTTAGATCTTGTCCTTTCATCTGTAGGTGATCTTTCAAAGAATCGTGACCTTTCAGAGCACCATGACTTTTCACAGGACTGATGCCTTTAACTGAAACTGCTTCTCCCAAGAGGTCTTGTCCTTTGACCTGTATGGGACCTTTCAGAGAACCTTGACCTTTCAGAGCACCATGACTTTTCACAGGACCGAGCCCTTTAACTGAAACTGCTTCTCCCAAGAGGTCTTGTCCTTTGACCTGTATGGGACCTTTCAGAGAACCTTGACCTTTAACAGGACCAAAGCCTTTAACTGAAACTGCTTGTCCCAGGAGGTCCTGTTCTTGAACTTGTGTGCGACCTTTCACAGGATGGAGACCTTTAACTAAAACTGCTTCATCCAGATCTTCTTTCCTCTGTAGGTGACCTTTCAAGGAGCCGTGACCTTTCAGAGAACTGCGACCTTTAATAGGACTAAGGCCTTTTGCTGAACCTGCTTCTTCCACAAAATGTTGTCTACCAACCACTGGATCTTGACCTTGAACTAACAGTTCTTCTCCTATGAGATCTTGTCCTGTGAGCTGTGTATGACCTTTCAAGGAACCCCGACCTTTCAGAGAACCTCCACCTTTTAGAGAACCCAGACCTTTTAGAGAACCCCGACCTTTCAGAGAACCATGATCTTTAACAGGACCAAAGCCTTTAACTGAAACTGCTTGTCCCAGGTCTTGTTCTTGGCCTTGTGTGCGACCTTTCACAGGACTGAAGCCTTTCACTGAATCTGTTTCTTTCACAAAATCTTGTCCTCCAACCCCAATGTGACCACCCGTTGGATCTTGACCTTGAACTAAAGGTTCTTCTCCGGTGAGATCTTGTCCTTTGACCTGCGTACGACCTTTCAAGGAACTTCGACCTTTCAAGGAATCTGGACCTTTCAGAGAACCCCGACCTTTCAGAGAACCTCCACCTTTTAGAGAACCCAGACTTTTTAGAGAACCCCGACCTTTCAGAGAACCCCGACCTTTAACAGGACCAAAGCCTTTAACTGAAACTGCTTGTCCCAGGAGGTCCTGTTCTTGGCCTTGTGTGCGACGTTTCACAGGACTGAAGCCTTTCACTGAATCTGCTTCATCCACAAAGTCTTGCCCACCAACCCCGATGTGACCACCTGTTGGATCTTGACCTTGAACTAAAGGTTCTTCTCCCATGAGGTCCTGTCCTTTGACCTGTGTACGACCTTTCAAGGAACCTTGACCTTTTAGAGAACTCCGACCTTTCAGAGAACCTCTACCTTTTAGAGAACCCCTACCTTTAACAGGACCAAACCCTTTAACTGAAACTGCTTGTCCCACGTCTTGTTCTTGGCCTTGTGTGCGACCTTTCACAGGACTGAAGCCTTTCACTGAATCTGCTTCATCCACAAAATCTTGTCCACCAACCCCAATGTGACCACCTGTTGGATCTTGACCTTGAACTAAAGGTTCTTCTCCCATGAGATCTTGTCCTTTCACCTGGGTATGACCTTTCAAGGAACCTTGACCTTTCAAGGAACCCCGACCTTTCTGAGAACTCTGACCTTTTAGAGAACCCAGACCTTTCAGAGAACCTCGACCTTTTAGAGAACTATGACCTTTAATAGGACCAAAGCCTTTAACTGCAACTGCTTCTCCAAGGAAGTCTTGTCCCTGGATTTGTGTGCCACCTTTTACAGGACCAAGGCTTTTAACTGAATCTGGTTCTTCCACAAAATCTTGTCCCCCAACCCAAGTGTGACCATTTGTTGGATCTTGACCTTGAAATAAATTTTTATCTCCTGTGAGATCTTGTCCTTTGATCTGCATACTACCTTTCAAGGAACCCTGACCTTTCAAGGAACCCCGACCTTTCAGAGAACCCTGACCTTTTAGAGAACTGCGGCCTTTAACAGGACTGAGGCCTTTAGCTGAAACTGCCTTATCCAGATCTTGTCCTTTGATCTGTAAGTGACCTTTCAAAGAACCACGACCTTTCAGGGAACCTGGACCTTTAACAGTGCCTACACCTTTAACTGACACTGCTTCTTCCAGATCTTGTTCTTTGATCTGCATGTGACCTTTCACAGGACTGAGGCCTTTATCTGAAACTTCTTCTTCCATAAAATCTTGTCCATCGACCCAAATGTGACTGATCATTGGATCTGTATGTTGAACTAAAAATTCTTCTCCCATGAGATCTTGTCCTTTGACCTGTATGGGACCTTTCACAGGTTGGAGACCTTTAACTGTAATTTCTTCTTCCATGGAATCTTGTCCTTTGATCTGTAGTTGACCTTTCAGAGAACCTTGACCTTTCAGATAGCCATGACCTTTCAGGTAACCTCGACCTTTCACCATTCCAAGACTTTTAACTGAAACTGGGTTTTCCACGAAATCTTCTTGGTTGACCCAAATGTGACTGATCACTGGATCATTACCTTGAACTAAAAATTCTTCTCCCATTAGATCTTGTCCTTTGACCTGCATGCGACTTTTCAAAGAACCGTGACCTTTGACAGAAACTGCTTTTCCCATAAGAGTTTGTCCTTTGACCCTCATGCGACCTTTCACAGGGTGGAGACCTTTGACAGAGACAGTTTTTCCAATCAGAGCTTGTCCCTTGACTCGCATGCGACCTTTCATAGAGCTGAGACCTTTGACTGAAACTGCTTCTTCCACGAAACCTTGTCCATTAACCCAAATGGAACCGATCATGGGATCTTTACGTTGAACTATAAATTCTTCTTCCATGGGATCCTGTCCTGTGGTCCAAACCTGACCTTGCACAGTTTCTTGTCCTTTAACAGCAACTGTTAAAGAAAAAATGCACCCACATTTAGACCCACTATACTTGTTTTGCTTACCATGTTTTTCCCATAGGTCCAAGAACTACTCCCTGCAGTGTGACTCAAATTGTGCCCAGAAGTGGGGGAGATGCTCCAGAAATAGCTTGCATCTGTGCTCCTGAAAGACTGGTCCCTTCTGTTTGGAGACTGGGGCTACAGGATCACCATTCTCTGGCATGTGTGTTTCTTTCTCTGCTTTCCATTCTTTGTTTCTTGGGAACTCATTGCAGACTGAGTTGATACCCAGAAATGAGAAGGAAACCTTCTGAGGAAATTCTGAGGAGGAAGAAAGGGCCCTGAGCCTTTTGAAGATCCCTGAGCCTTATGCCAGGAGACTTGAGTTCTATCCTAGCTCTGGAAATTGATTGGCAATTCCTCACTTCTGTCTCTGTCTTGGTTTTCTTCTTATAAGCCAGTGGACCTCAACCTGCCTGGTATCTGAGCCCTTGTTGTTTAATAACCTGCTTCTATAGGACAACTACTTAAGTGCTTTAATGGTGGCAGAAGGCAGGCTCCAGAGTGAGTCCTGAAGCTCATTATGTTCTTGCATGTCACAGCACTGATAATGATCCCTGATGCCAAGGCTATATAACAGTATGACCTATACAAACAGCCCTCAGATCTCAATCACTGGTTGGAAATGTGGGATGGGGGGTCTTCTTCATGTCCTACCTTCTCTGGTCCTAAAGAAGATAGTCACAAGGTTGAAGTGTGGGCTCCATCCATGCCTCCTTCTTCATAAGTGTCCTCTATCTAAGCCCAGGAGGCCCCTGAGAGCTTCTTTTTATCCTGTCTCAGTTCTTCCAGGTCTCCTGTCCAGTCAGCTCCTATGGCAGCTGCATCTACTGCCAGCATCTCAAAGATGAGCAACGGAGCCACACCAAGTGACTGGTGCCCACATTGTCAGGAAGGTGTTTGGCTAAGAGCTGAGGCCAAGTCTTGCTTTATGCAGCCCAAGGAGTTCTGGCACCAACCACAAGTTTGTGATTTTATGTGAGAGAAGACATTTCCTTAGCTCTCCCAGGAAATAGCCAGAAGGCTGTTGGGGCTTTCTTAAAGATTATTCACAGGAAAAAATGGTAGGCATTATGTTATATCACTTCTAATAGCTCCAAAATCTGTCCCACTTTCTCACTAACAAGAAATGCTGCCGGTTGGCCCTTATCTAGTATTACAACCACATTCTTCATATTTTAAAACAGATCCAGGGAAGATAAAGGAATTGCTTGTGTTCATTTAGTAAGTCACTAGTACTTCCAATCTTAATTTCAAATTTAGTATGCTATCCTATTGTGCCCGCTTTTACTAACCCCTTTCAGATCTATCCTATTATTTTTACCCTTTTTAGCATCAAATTGGACTTTTCCTTCATTCTTCCCTGACCTGAGAAAGACAGTGAAAGGCAAATATGCCTTGAAAGTCTAAAGACTGGTTATTATATTTTGACATTTTGTGGGTGACTTTAGTGAGGCACCATGAAAGTAATTGGAAGGTGAAATTCTAGGTCTGGAAGAAGATAACGCCCTAGAAATTGAGAGAGGAGATCATCTCCTTGGAGTGAAACTGGACAGCTATGTGTTAACTGTGCAGCCAAGCTCCCCGAGGAAATCGATGCTTATGACCTCTACCGTGGGTACAGCTCTGAGGTATGGACAAGCCGAGCCTAGCAGACTGGGAAGGGTTTGTCTGGACTCACTGCCCCTTGATCACTGTTCATTCCCTTTAGTCATTGCTTTCATCTGTATAACTGCACTTTTTGTTGAATCCAATGAACAATTTCCCCATAGGACCGAAATAATATAAAAGTGGAAACAGGCTTTTGTTCTCCGCTCTCAGGAGGACACTAATCTCCTGGAGAGAGACCAGCAAACAAACTGCTCTTTGTTCCTAAAACTCTGTGTCTTGGTTTTGTTTGGAATCCTGTGCAGTCTTCTGCTTCAAACTCACAGTAGACTAACAGAAAGGACCCCAGCATTTAAAGGGAAGAAAACACATATTATCTGGTATAGCAGTATGTAATGTGTTTAGCCTGCCTTCCTCCTTCATACAACAGCACTTTGCTTCTTCTGAACTTAATTTCTTTTTCCTTCTTTTTTCCCTTTTTCCTTCCTTCCTTCCTTCTTTTCTTCCTTTTTCCCTCCTTGCCTTCCTTTCCCTTCCTTCCTTTTTTCCTCCCTTCTTCCTTCCTTCTCTTTCATAAATTCAATTTTTAAGTCTCATGTACTAAATTTATCTTTTAAGTACCATTAGTAATGAAAGTTTGGCTTCAGGCCAGGGCTTCTGAAGCAATTTATTTGAATGTGTAGTAAAGAAAAGGAAGAAATTCCTCCTTTGACTAAACGTGGCATATTGGCACATATGAACTTGGGCATCCAGAAGCTGTTTATTCAGTTGTAGTTTCTACTGTCTGAGCAAAACAAATGTCAGCTACTGAGCGATGGAAAGAAGCTCTGAAGTCACCAGCCAGCCCTTCCTGTTCCTTAGTCTTGGAAGTCTTGGAGAGCTCCCATGATCTCCCTAAAGCTTGGTTATAAGTGAAGATATTAGCCTTCTACCTAAGCTAATCTGGCTTGGTATCTATTTTTGCTACCAAGAGGTCAGAGTAATAAAAGTAGATGCCTACATTCAGGGCATTTTTTTTTTTTTTTGGTCTTTTTCCTTTTTTATCGGTACCAGGGATTGAACTCATGACTGTCTGCTTGCAAGGCAGACACTTATGCCGCTGAGATAAATCCCCAGCCCCAATCAGGGAATTTTCAGGAGCAAACTTGACACTTTACACTCACTGGAGATTGGAGTGAAGCAAGGAAGAAAGACTGATTATTGGATAATAAACTCTGGGTTTTTCCCTGGACTCAGACTACGTATTCACCAAGGCTGAAACTGGAGATAAGCAATGTCAGAATGTTGGTGTATGCCTTAAAATTACAATGGAATAAATCATTCAAATAAAAATGAGAGTAGAAAATATGTATGTTCTTTAAAGAGTAACACTAAAATAAATAGGTAAACAAGAATACTTACTATCTTGATGTCCGTAGCCCTCACCAGTTGCTTCATTCTCCCTCTTCCTCCACGTTAACACCTTCATGGATTTTATGTTAATTTGAAATAATTTGAAATTATGTTAATTTGAAATAATTTGTCTAGATTTGAACTGTATATTAAAATGTGTATATTTAAATTTTACATAAATGGAAGAATCATTTTTACATACTGTACTTATTTTGTTCAACATTATGTTTTTGAAATCTATCTTTTGAAGTATAGTCTTGTGGTTCATATATAGTGACTCTTGCATATTATTTTGTTATGTGAAAATAATGAAACATTTATATATTCACTCTACTGATGATATACATTGAGTATTTGTAGTTTTTGACTATTTTAAGTATTTTACTGTGAACATTTTTGTATATATCTTATTTCACTAAAAATGAAATTGCTGGATAGTGGAACATAGATCATGGGGTATAGATATGATTAACTGTGATAAATATAGGAAACAGCTCTCCAATGTTAGTGTACTAATTTATGTCACCAAAAGTACTATGCCTTTCTGATAATGACAATAGACAAATGCAGTATGTCATCACATATTATTAGAGTACAATGTTGTAAAATTGCAAAAATATCTGAAATACAACCATGCACATAACTATAATTAAAATAATGTTGAATAAAAAATGCCAGTCCCAGAATCTATTTAGAATTATATGTTTGTTAAAAGTTCAAAACCAGGGGCTAGGGGTTTAGCTTAGTGGCACAAGCACCTACCTGACAAGTGCAAGGGTGTGAGTTTGATCCCTGGTTCCAAAAAAAAAAAAAGTTCAAAAGCACATGAGCATAATAGCCTATACTTATAATTAACTGCTTCTTGGGAAGCTGAGGCAAAAACATCAGATGTTTGAGGCTAGCCTGGGCAACATAGTGAGATTTTGTCTCAAGAGAAAAAAGTAAAAGTGGCTGGGGATGTAGCTTAGTGACAGAGGGTCCTTGGGCTTTAGTCTTAGTCCCCAAAAGCTTATTAGTTCTGGAAGTAAGGAAGGAAAATTTATGGATGGGTGAGAAGTCCTTGGAAGGGTGGATTGTTGTAAATGATTGGTTATTGGTAACATTTTAGTTCATAGACTGTTAGTTTGTGTGTGTGTGTGTGTGTTTTAAAATTGCAGGGCATAGCATTTATGACTTACATTGGTCTTTTGTAATCCATGTTGCTGTACTCATAAATTGTTTCTAATCTTTTGCTATTGTACCTTGTGATGCATAAGGTCTTTCTTGTAGGCTATGTGCTTAGAAATAGACTTGTTAATACAAAGATTAAATGCATGTGAGATTTTGATAATATTGCCCTATTTTCTTTGATAGAGCTTGTACTATATTTTATTCTCACCAGCGGTGAATGAAACCACCTGTTTCTGCTAGCCTTGTATACAGATTGTGTATCTAATTTTTAAATTCTTACTGATGTTAAATAAATCTGTGAGAAATAATATCACACAGAAGTTTCTAATTAACTTTACCTTGGCATAAAGGATTATTTTTTTTCATATTTTAAGAGACACTGACATTTCCTTTACTCATTTTTAAAACTGCTTCATTCTTCCCTTCTTCTCCACTTGAATGTATTCAGGCTGGAGTGTAATCCAGTGGTAGAGAAGTGCTTAGTATGCATAGTGTTCTAGGCGCAATACTCAGCAACTCCCTTCCCAAAGAATATTCCGTATAAAGATAAAATTAAATTAACTTATTGGATTTAGTAAAACTTCGCTCTCTGAAATGCATCTTTACAAAGAATGATATATGACTCACTGGTGTTATTCTGTCTTCTTTCAATTCCCTACATCTGTTCTCTCCTCCTATCTCTGATCCTTGTCACATGTCAGCTGTTTTGATTAGAAAAACCACCCCAGGATTTATTTTTCTGCTTCCCTTTTGTTCATAATTGAGTGGATTTTTTTCCCTTGACGTAGGGTGGTACTGGCCTTACATTCCATTTGCACAGTAGTTATGTCCTTGGGCTTAATTAGAATTTTGTTTCTGGTTTTGATCTTTGTTATGTACTAGTTATTCAGTTTGAATAGCAAACTGCCATGAGGTCCGTTTTATGGCCTGTCTTACTGTCCATGGTATAGAATCATTTGATTTTAACTTAAACATTCTCCTGCATGTGCATTTTGTTGATATAATGATATAAATAGAATTTGGAGTATGGTTTTGGTCACCCACTGGCTGTTTTGTTTAGAAAGGGAAAATGCCTGTGACATAGCTTTTACTTTATCTTTTCTACACTACATTGGCCCTTGTTCTCCACTTAGATACTTGCCAGACATTCCAACTACCTGTTGGCTAAATCTATGATCTTGATCAGCATTTTACACCAAATTATGACCATTGTCAACTACATGCTACACAAAAATTGTATTCTGATGCCCACCTTGATATCTTTGAATGAACTGTTCTTGATTTCTACCTGAATTTTGGTCTTGAGACAAGGGGAATTGTAAGACTTTGAAACAGCAACCTGAGATAAAATGGCAAGAAATTGCTACTTTAGTTGAGAAGAGCAGGAAAATAAATCAGGTATTTAAGTGAGCAAATCAGTGTATTCTTTAGGTGGGGAATAAAATGTATGAGCAAACTGGGTGAGACTGCTGCAATCAATAGCTCTAACCCAGAACTAATCCTGACTACGTTATACCTCTGTTGTAATGCATTTCCGTAGGAAGACATTCACCTTTCTCAGCACTATTTGGGCCAGGAGCAAACACATGCCTGCACAAAAACTGAAACTGCATTATCTGAAGGCCTCAGAAAAATGGATACTAATGACCTTCTTTTTTTTTTCTTAATGACATCCTTTTGCGACCATATAAAAGGGAAATGTATGATTTGTAAGGGCTTGCTGTGTCTGTACAGTAGCCAGGTTAGCTGTCTTTTTGGGGGGCTCCCTAGGAAAGTTACTGTTATGTCCCTTCCCTATGATAAACTTACATTTTATTTTCATCTTAGAACTAGTTCTTTTTCTAATTTCCATCTTTCAAGAGGCTTAAGACTCAGGCTAGCTTGTAACAGTCTGATATTGTCATTTCATGTTGTGAATTCCAGTAATATTGGTTTTATCTTTATTTCTAGTCATGGTAATTGTCATCTACTTGCTGTTTGATTTAGATCTAAATCTGCTTTGAGATTCAGCTTATTGTTTGGCCTTTTATGCTGAACAGTGTTGGCTTTGTTGTCTAATTTGGTAATTGGCATGGTTCATTTGGTAACTGGCTTTGCTATTCCTCTGGTAATTGATAATACGAACTGTTTCCTTATGAACTCCCTGAAGAGCCACATGGAATGTGGTTGTAGGTGGAGAAGTCTCATTATCTTCTGGGAGAAGAAGCTCTGCATGACTATTTACTCACACCCAGAATGCCCTTACAGGACATTTTCCCTGTGTGTCTTCCCCCAACTGTCCCTCTCCACTCACCAAGGAGTTTCTTTCCAGATGCTTGCTTCACCCAAATGAGGAGCAGGGAAAGGATGAGGAAGACGGTAGGCTTCATCTTGCCAGGAAGGGCCCTGCCCAGGAGCTGAGTAGAGGCTCTCATTTATATCTTCCTTGATTGGGTGTGCTATGGGTGTGGCTGAAGTTACAAAAGGCACTTCCCTTTCTTCCTTATCTGTAAATGCAGACTTCTTTCCCCTTGCTCAGTGTGGGGCATTGTCAATGTCCCAGGGACTATATACAGGGACACGATGTCTGAGGCCTTTTCCTACCGCTGCAAGCCCTTGCATATCTTTATCAATACTAAGAAATCATCACACAGAATTTTCTGCGTTACCAGAAGAGATCTAGTCCTGAAGAAGAAAAAGTCTAACTTCGGTGTATAAAATTTACTAGTGGATTATCTAGTTCCCATTGTCTTCCGTGTGAGATTCCTTCCATGGTGCCATAATTTGGATTCTGTGTCACAAATGATATCTAGTACTTCTGCAGACTGTGATCCAGGCAAAGCACAGATGAGGAGAGAGCATCTCTACCTATATGCATTCAGAGCAGCACAGACCGGGGTTTCTGGAGTGAAGAGGGGTTGAAAATATTTTTTCCAGTCATTTTATCCTATAATCTCAAACATCCACAGGAAATGATCTTTAGGAGGGGCAAGAGAAAAACTAATCACATTTTTAATGGAAAGAACAGAGGTAAAAATAGTAAGTCATCAAATACAAGACATTAGAGTTAGGAGGTATGACCTAAGCCTGTCTCATCTGCTGCCAAGATTATCTCTTTGTCCCAAAGTCAGTAATTATTTCCCTCTAGCAGAGACCCTTAGGAAGTAGGTTGAAATTATCCTGAATGAAAATTGCCTACAATATTTACTAATCTCACCACTCCTCCCAACTTCCATTCCAGAAAATACCAGGAACTGCTGCATTTCAAGCTCACCAGTAAAAGAGAGAATCTGATATTGCTGATCTTATTTATGGATCAAAGGACAAAACCTTTGTCCAAGCTAGTATGCCAAAGATACAGATAAAACAAAGTGTTCAAGATGGAAAAAAAAGATATAAACCAAAAATAGCAAGAGATTATAATGCTCTTATCAGAACAAAATTTGATTAAAATTGAAAAAATCACCACAGAAAATGAAGTCATTGATAAAGATGAAAGCAGAAACTAATGACTTGAAAAAACAAACAAGGATAGAGAGATGAATATGTCTTAGATATGACATTTTAATAACAGAAGGAAAAAGTCATTCTAGAACAGTGAAGCAAAAAACAAAATAAAACAACAGCTAGAAGATTGAAGTGTACAAAGTTATTATTAAAATGCAAAAATAAGATCCTCAAAGCACAGAAAAGGAAAATTTTAAAGTACATTTAGTTACTTCTGTGCAAAATTACTTGACAACATAGAACGGTTGGCAAAAAATACACCAACTTTCTTAAGAATAGATAGAAATCCTCAGCTGTACAAATATCCTAAAAGATACTCAAAAGTTGGCTTAAATCTATACTAGCCCTCCAAAGTGTTGGGCTTAGGTGATGTGCCTTGGAGTAACAACATGGAATTAGGGCAAAATAGAACTTTAAAAGCTGAAGTTTTTTCCTCTAGAGACAAGCAACTTCTTCTGACATAGTCAGGCCTAAGATATAAATTGTCAACCCCTTTTGACTCCACAACCTGGATAAATGGACCAAACATGCAGATGCTGGCCCTGGGAGGTCAAAGTCTAGTTTCTTTTCCACAGGGAATGGAGAGTGCAGAAGATGGCTAAGAGAGATGAGGAAGCCTGGTGTTTTCTATTATCTCATTTACTGTAGACCGTCTTCTCTCCCTTACTATAAACACTCTTGGATACCTTGATACAGAGAGATGGTGATTTGTCACAATATGAAGTCTCTCCTCTATGAAACTAACTTTGAATAAAGCCTTTTCCCTTTTACCATACCACCCATGTTTTTTTGGGTGAAAAAAAAACCAGTGACAACATGAGACAAATTACAGCAAGGACCTCATACAGAAAGTTCTTTAACTCTCTAGAGAAAGAGAGTTGAATCTCACACCAGAGAGTACAAGGGCAGAAGGAGAAACAGTGACATTCACCAGAGTGAAAGCTTGGATCATCTAAGACAGTCACATCCACTGTATTCTCTCATGGGTTTTTTGAATAGTTTTGGTTCTCAGAAATAATCAGATGAATCTCAAGTAGCAGGGAAAAGGCCTAGATGCCTACTGAGGCCCATAAAACCTTGGGAATCCTTGTTACAGAAACCACAGTGCTGATACATCCTTTGAACTCAGTTGTCACTTCTGTAGTTCCTAATCATCCATTTCATCTTGATAATCAAAAAACATCTACAACTAGCTGACTTAATAATCCAGGCTTTTAAAATGTGATAAAACATGTATGCATAAAATTTACCATTTAGAAAATTTAATTATCCAATATCATGCAAATTACAGCGTTCATACTGTTGCCCAGCCATCACCACCATCCATCTCTACAACTTTTTCTTCTATGCAAACTGAAACTCTATGTCCATTAAATAATGCCTCCTCATTACTCTCTGGTACTAGAGACTCATAACCACTAGTATATGTATCTCCAGAAATTCAGGGTTTTTAGGTGGCTTATATAAGTGGAACCATAATATTTGTACTTTCAAGCTGGTGTACCTCTTTCAATATAGTGTTGATAATCTCAATTTTAAAACTGAGTACATAATCAAGTGTCTCTAAGAGTTTCAGGATAACTTATATGGGAAAGTTTACTGAATTCAATCAAGAACTACAGCCACTGCATAAGTAAGAAGCAATTTTATTAAAAAAATGTGAAATAATGTCCCAGCCCATGGGTGAGACAACGTAGACACTAGAGGGGGAGTGGGGATGAGAAGAAACAAGAGACGCGAAGAATGGAGACAAGACAGGGTTCTGATCAAGTCTTGTTTATTCAAAGAAAGAGTAACATATATAGGGTATTGGGGGAGGAGGGAGTTGGGTTCTGAGACGTCAGCAGGTAACTTAGCAACAGCGGCAAGACCGAGGGTTATAGGGTAATTCAAATCTCCCGCATGTGGGCTAATAAGGCCGGCTAATTAACATAACCCCTGAATGGGCCAAACAGGCTAGGCAAGGAGAGAAGCTTAACTACCAAACTTAACTCCTAGAGGGGTTTCAGGTGGCTGCTGCCTGCAGCTATAAAGTGGCAGTCAATTACAGGGCCTCCCACAAAATAATATCTGCAAATGAGTTACAGACGCCATTTGTGAATCAAGCACTGGCTTAGGTTTTTAAAAACCTAAAGAGATCATAGAAATTGAAAATTTACCTGATGATATCTTTCACGACTAAATAAACTGCTTAGCTATTTCAAAGCAAAGGGTGACAACAACCCTACATGTGAACCCAGTACGTGGAAAGTGCAGTTACTCAAGAAAGAAAAGTGAATCACACTGTGTTGTTGAACTTTATATATGGATGTTATAAAGAAACCCCTGTATTCTGTGGAAGGTTCATGACTTGATATACTTAACAGTTATTAGTTAAACTAATATTAGTAATATGAATAGTAAAAATAAGAATTTTCTGAAAAAAATTATATTGAATTTAAAATTACATACAGAGCCATGCAATCATTTTACATGATATAAAAATGTAAAAGAATTGCTAGTCACACAAACAATGAGGTACCTCCAACTATAATGCTTCTGAAACAGCACCAATATGTAATCCAGGCAGTGAAAAACTCAAGGAGGACATACTGAGAATCAATGAACAGTGAACTAACCCAGTAAAATGGACAGTTATATTGTATGACCCTCCAATGTTTAAGAAATGATTTCATTAATTATATGAAGCTAAAATGTTTTGAAGTCATCACACAGAAGTAGATGGGGTGGTAGGGAACTCTACTACAGGGAAGCCAAATGGATATGTGTATGAGATTTCTTTTTTTTTAGATTTTTTTTAATTTATTTAAGGAGAAAAGAAAAAAAAAGTGAAAGGGTACAAGTTATACAGATTTACAGAAGAAAAAATGAACAGTAGAAAATCACTAGTTAATGGATTACATATTGCCATCTTAAAAATAATTGTTCAAGTCACAAAATTAAAGCTTGTAGAGTGGACATTCCAACAATGATACTGCAAACAGTTCTGTTCAATGATCCAATAAAACTCTGTGATATCATTTTCTATCTTATACACTTAAATATACATGCAGTTATATAGTTTAGAGCACTTTCTTTTCCTCTCTTTTGTACAATGACTATTACACATTTTGGGTTTCATTGCTCCCACGGTTCTTATTGCTTTTTTGGAAGAGAGTAAAACCAAATGAGACATAACAGGACAGAATCGGTCAAGTCAAAAGGGTGGACATAATAGATAATATAAAAATATAATACAAGGTGATCATCAATAGTTACCATGATGCCTCCCGCTATCTCTAATAGAATTGCCTATATCATTAGTTATAATACAATTGAACAAAATAGTAAAGAACAAAACTGACAAAACCAACACATTGGAGACATTGTAGGTCTTCAAAAGTAGATAAAAGTCAACGAGAATGGGCGTTATAATGAATCTCATTATCTTCTCAGCTGATGCCTAAACTTTCGAACCTGATACTATCCATCAAAACAGAATAGGGGAACATCAGTCAAAAACAAGATGGTGAGAGTAATACAGGGCTTCAAATCGAAATAATAGAAAGTCAAAGTGGGTTACTATATTATATCCTGCTATTTTTTTCCCTTTAATTAAACGGATAAAAATAAAAAAGTAAATAATGGAGTGGAGATTGAGAAAAAAGAGGGCATAACAGCAAAACAGCGCAGATCAAAACATAACCATTTAAGCAGAATAGTGTTTCACCACCAGATAATTGCGACCTAAAAGTAATTACCATATTGACTCTTTCCTTGAAGTCCTTGAGTACAACTTCATATACTGTAGCATTAAGAATATCAAAACAATGTAAAACCATTTAAGAGAATGACAGCATTACAGAGTATTTAGAATCGACTAACAGAAAATGAACAATGGTTTCTATATAATCTCCTTGTCTTT